GTTTCTACCTCCAAATACGGTCATCGCAAAATCATGCCTAAAACACTTTCAGAAATCGCCAACTGTCATAAACCTTAAGAATTTCTAAATATACTATACATTTTAAATACCCCATATGAATTATTCCAATTGCTTAAAAAACAAAGGCAGTTCCTTGTTGAAAATAAATCTATTTTCCCCGTGGGGATGATCACAAGGTAAAGTCTGTATTAATGTAAATCTTAAAGGCTCAAAATGGAAGAGAAAGCAGTGTAATAGTTTAAAGACATCAGACCTTTTCATCCAGAACATCTCTTTTTGGAAGTTCTTCAAGCATAAAAGGGTTTTGTTTTTTTGTTTTGTTTTTTAAAGAAACTGAAAAGCTGCCAGGCTATCAGTTTTCTTCCTCAAACAACTAAAATGAATTTACTAAGGCTAATTTTCAGGAAACAATGTGTCTTACTATTTTTTTTCTTTTTCAGAAGGGATCTAGCTATGTTGTCCAGGTTGACCCCCCAGGCCCCTACTCTGGGGAGCCCCCTTTCTCAGCCTGTCATAGCTGGGACCACAGGAATACACAACTATACCCAGCTTATTTTTCTTTAAGAAAAAAAAAATTGTTGTTTTCAATTTTCTTCTTTAGTTTTTGGTTAGATTTTAGCGACAGGTTCTCCTTATGTTGCCTAAGTTGCTCAGGCAGATCTCCAACTCACCATCCTCCTGCCTCTAAAAAACAAGTTTTACTACATTGTATATTTAAGCTATATAGCTCCATTGTTTAGATACATATGTATTACATAAGATACATGGGTATTAGAATCATTATTAAAATGAAACAATGAATACAATCATCATGTCAGTTGTCCCCCATCCCCCAGTCATGGCTACAATGTACTCACTTAGCCAAAGCTTACACTATTCCTAACAGCCGCTCCGATGCTGTGGGCTAGCTCAGTCTACCTGGCAGTCTGTGCAGACTTTGTATACTTTTGCCTGTATCTTCAATTTTCTCTTTGTGGTCCTGAATTTATTCTTTTTATCAAACCAACTGCCACCAATGTCTAGTTTTAAATGCAGATGAAAACACTACCAGAATGTACACTCCTCTTTCACAAACATAAGTCTATCCACCTTTTCCAATTCTATATTTGCTTCTGCAAACACTCCAGAGGCTGCCTTACAGTGGGCCAGTCTATAAAGACTGGCGTTTAGACAGAAAGTCTGTTTACTGATCAAGGAAGCAGATATGCTTCTTGTATTAAACTATCAGGAATATTAATTAGGAAGTTTTTTAGAATGCAGGAATCAAGACAGGACCAAGACAGCATCCCCACAGAGGTCAGCTCTAAACCCGGTTACTCCCGCTCTAAACCACGGATGGTTTCACTTGAATTAGCACACCTGCTGCAAAGCAGCTCCGGGCAGGTGCCTGGCTGATGTGCCAGCAGCTTTATACAAAGCTGCCACATTTCCCTTTAACAAACATAAACTCCGGTTCCCACAGTTTCAAAGCCAAAATACCATACCCTCTTCCATTCTAAATTTTGCCTGAAAAAATTGCCTTGCCCTTGATAAGAACCACCAAGCTACAGAGGACCACATCTCCCAGACCATTAGCCATACCTGAAACCAGTTCAGGAAATAGAACAACAGCAGGTACCCTACCTGCTTCGCAACCAAGTTCAAGCGTCTCATAGGTCCCCAAGTTCTCCCTACGCAATGCCACCAGACTTACTAGACACAGACTCACAGCCCTGACACACTGTTGTCACACGGATGGAAAGAACTGTCACAATGACACCCCAGGAAATGACTGAGCACTCTATTCACCCCAGGATAGTCACTAAACAAGCACAGAGCATCAGTGCTCACTGAAGAAGCAGAGTTCAGTGTCAACATGGAACAGGAAGAGACTTCTTAGAACCCTCTTCCTGCACAGAATCTTCTCAGTATGAGAATGGAAACAGAGAGAAAGAGAAAAAGAAAGAGAGAAAGAAGAAAGGGCCTTTTTATGTATCCCGAGAGAATCTGACTCCCAGGGGAGAAAGGCATTTTAATCATCAAACACCAGTCTTCTGGCTCCGTGCCAGCCAATGAGGGAGGGAGGCATCAGCTACAGGTGACTCTTGAACATTGGCAACAGGGTCAGTCTTAATCGAGATGTGCTGAGTGTGAACCACATCAGAACTGCAGATTTGGCAGAAAATCTTGGAAAATATTGCGGCAACTGTGATATACAGAGGATTAGAGCCATTAAGGCTATTTCCACTTGGTGAATGGGACCGCTCGAAACGTTTTAGAATTAGCTTGTATTTCTTCTGAATGGTGCTGCTCCAGCTTTGACTCTGACACAAAGCCTAACATTCAGTATTTCCCAATTTCAGTTCTCATTTAAAATCTACAAGAAAAAAAAACCCAGTAGTTTCCTTTCTCAAGCAATTTATGATAACTTGATAAAAAAAAAATAATTTAAAGCCAGCCATAAAGTAACCAGCAAGCATATTAGAAAGAAAAGTCACTTCAAGGGGGCAAAAAGAGCACAGGATACAAAAACCGCAACTGTTAAGAGAATGTGATCACAAATACCTTAACTAAGCTTTTCTAAAAATGTAGGTCTAAATGCTGATTATAATATGCATTTTAAGCTGGGTGATGGTGGTGAGCACCTTTAATCTGAGCACTCACGGGCAGATCTCTGAGTCTGAGGCCAGCCTGGTCTACAGAGCGAGTTCCAGGGCAGCCAGAGCTACACAGAGAAACTCTGTCTCAAAAACCAAAAACCAAAAAAAAAAAAAAAAAAAAAAAAAAAAAAAAAAAAAAAAAAAATCATTTTAAAAGTGAAATGACTGTTTCCTTTTTAGCATCGAGGGCCCCAGGGGTGGGGTGGTTTCTGTATTACTCAAGTACTTGCAAACACAAACAAGTAAACACTTAACACTATAAAAATGGAAACAACTGAACACATGACACATACCTGCAAATCCCAGTTAAGGCAGCAGGAGGAGGAATTTAGGACTAGTTTAAACTACAGTTAAGGGGCAGGGCTTAGTATTTGCAAGCATGAAGACCTGCCTCCTGATCCCCAAAGATACAAATCTGTAACCCCAGTGTTTAGGGGATGGAGGCAGGTAGATCGCTGGCGGGAACTCTCTGGCCAGCCAGCCTAACACAATCTGTTAGGGATAGGTTCAGGGACAGAACATGTCTCAGAAAAGGAAAGTGGACAGTGACTGGGGAAGTCATCTGACATCACACCACACAGGGCACACACATGCATGCACACACAAACATGTACACACACGTATACCACATACACAAACAGGGTACTAGGGGGGAGCTTGGAGGCAGGTCATTTGCCTAGCTTGTGCAAGGCCCACGATTTGGCCTCGAACAAAGAAGGGGAAAGGGGGATAAGGTAAATAAATACAATTTCTCTTCCACCAACTGCTCAAAAGCAAAATAAACACTGCCCTAAGTTCTCAAGGACTGATTAGGCCGTGGTCCACAGGCACTATGAAATTCTTAAAAATGTACTTTTCCCACAGTGCTAAGTATATTTACCTTTTGTGGTGCCAGGTACAGAATTCAGGGCCTAATACATGCTAAGTAAGTGGTCTACCAAAGAGCTACATTATATGTCCTTGCCTTAAGAGGCTTATTTTAAAAGCAAAAAAAAAACTCAAGGATATACTTGGTAAGTGAATTTTGTTATTGCTCTCATATAAAAAAAATCATTTTGCTATATTCAATTGTTAAAATATTGCTCTGGGGGAGTTAAATCTAGACTACTTCTGAGTTTATCAAAATGCTCATTTTGGGGGATGATCATCTTTCTTTTTCTCCTTTCCTGAGACATAGTTTGAGTATATCCCAAGCTAGCCTTGAACTCATAACGCATCGCAGGCTGTCCTCAAACTCATGGAGCCTCAACCTGCTGAATGCTAGGATTAGAGACTTGTACCACTGCCTGGCTACAAAATTTTCAGTGAGGAAAGGATACTAAACAAACAAATTTAAGATCAGTGAATGGAATCCTCGGGATTTCCACAATAGTTAATAACTCCTACACTGTACTAACTTATTCAAAAAGGGCCATCTTCAGGTGTCAATTCTTTATGTCCTTGAGTTTCATCAGCTAAGGATAATCATCGGGCTACTTGGCAGGTGACACATTCCTCAGAAACTCTTTTCCTTGTGCATTTAAATGCCAAGCTCAATTATGCTGCCAGTAGAGTAAGCAGAAAGGATTGTACATATTTTAAACTAGGGAGCTGATTGGCCGCAGCTTCCTGCCTTGATGGACAGGATAATGGGTAAAGCTTTGAGTCCGATCCCTCAAACACTGAAACCACTCTCAAAGAATCGGATCTTCTAATATTGCCCCAAAGACTGCCAACATTCCCATTAGAACATTCTATTTTTAGTCTTTGCGATCGGCCTTTTAAATTGCATTCTACAGTACAATGTGCTTAACTAAGTTTACACAGAAGAATAAAGACGCTTCCTAAGGCTTTAATCCTTTTAAAGATAGGAAAGAATTTTAAGCTTTCAAATCTTATTTTTTGTTCAGCCTTAAATTTAAGCCTTGCAAATATGCATATTAAAAAGAAAAGGTAAATCTTGGCCCAGAGGCAGGACAAGAAGGGAGACAACTAGGCGATTTCCAGACAACCAAAGAGGTGGCGGTGGAGGGGGAAACAAGGTATGGGGGGCAATTAAAAACCACCCGCAGGAAAGCGGGCGAGCACAGGCGGCGGGCCACCGAGCAGAGAGACACCAACGCGGAGTAGAAGCCGCAGGATCCCCGGGGAGGCGAGCGCGCGCGGAGAAATTGGCGCGATGCGCGACAACAGCACACCCGCAGAAAAGCGGGGGAAACCGAGAGAAACCGAGAGGGGGCGGATGCAAAGGGACCCACTGCAACTCCCGGGAGGACAGCGCCCGGGGAGGAGCGAGCGACTGTCCGCAGCTCCGCGGCCGCCGAGCCGGCGGATCCCCTGCAGCCCGGCTGCTCTTCTTACCTGGGCATCCGAGGCAACGCAAGGGCTACCGCCGGGCGCCGGGTCTGCTGGCAGCCCCGCTTGCTGACATGGCGGCCGACGAGCTGTCACACAGCCGGCTCCGGTCTCCCGCGGCTCGGGAGGCTCGGACACCTCCAGCCTTGCCGCCCCGCCTCCCTCCGCGCGCCCCTCCCGGCCGGCCGCGGGGCCGAGGAGCATAGAGTGCGAGAGAGGCTAGAGAGGAAGCGCCGAGGGCGGGCGACCATAGAGTTCCAACCCGGACACACCCGGATAGTCCACTCACAGGCGTCTGGGGGCGGAGCCTGGGCGGAAGCGGAAGCGAGTGCAGAAAAGGTTGATGCTCCGGCGTCCGCATGCGCCCTCTGTAGTGTTTGTTTCCGCCCGGCCTAGGGAGTCGGTGTGTTGCTGCTGCACGTGGGGATGTGGTGCTTCTTGTTCTTCGCAGAAACTGCCCGAACTGGTGGTTGCGGTGGATGTTAGAGGAGGATGTGGGGCCCGGGGATAGGGCTGCCTCCGCGGCTGGCGCTGTCACTGTTGGCCGGTCCCGCTCGCTCTTGTGTTCTGGGGTCTGGAGCGGCGACGCGGAAGGACGGGCAAGCGAGGAACCGTCGTGACTTCTCTGACTTCTACCTGCAGCCGTTATTTGATCCTGATTTCGATGAATCACCCTATTATGCACCCAAGGGTCGACCCGAGCCTACGCGTCATGTAGCGTGTAAGAAATTGGCCAGGAACCTGGTACGAAACATCCTGGGGTTCCAAAAACCGTCCCGTCAACTTGTACTAGAGTGCAATCCAGGTGAGATAGCAGAAGGTTTGCTCTTGACCTTTACATCCCTAATTTTCTAAGTTAGGTTTATTTACTGTGCGTGCGCGTATTTAGTTCAGAAAACAACTTAGGGAGAGTCACTTCTATCCTTAACACCGCATGCATCTCGATGATGACAACCTCTTGAGATGAGGTTGTCAGGGTAGACGCCCAGTGCTCTTGCCCTCTGAGCATTCTCATTGGTCCTGAACTGTCTTCTCTTTTTTAAGCACCGCTTCTTACAGAAAGTCGGTTCTGTTTAGACTTGACAGTAGTTTTTATGACGAAATGTTCAGATAGTCCATGAGTCAGAAGTAAGCTGCAATCTTAAATACTATTTTTTTCTAAGAAATAGTGAGATTTGTTGAGGAGTGTAAATTTTGCTGTCACTGACATCCTGGAATGTTACCTGTTGGGATGTTGTGGGTTCAAGTTAACTGTCTAATCATCTTTTTTTGTTTGTTTGTTTGTTTGTTTTTTCAAGACAGGGTTTCTCTGTGTAGCTCTGGCGGTCCTGGATCTCGCTCTGTAGACCAGGCTGACCTCCAACTCACAGAGATCCACCTGGCTCTGCCTCCTGAGTGCTGGGATTAAAGGCATGCACCACCAACACCCAGCTCATCTTTTTACATATGTAAAGATCATATCTTTTTACATAAAAAGAATCATATCTAGGAATGTTGTGATATTTAAAATGTGTAAAAGTCAGCTTTGAAAGAAACTATGGCCAAATGTAGTGGCACACACATTTAATCCTCGCAGAGGCAAGCTGATCTCTGAGTTCAAGGTCAGCCTGGTCTACTTAGCTAGTTCCAGGGCAGTCAGGGCTACATAGAGAGACCCTGTCTCAAAAAACAAACAAAAAAGAAAAAAAAATATTGGTGGTGCACACCATTAATCCCAGCACTTGGAAGGCAGAGCCAGGCTGATCTCTGTTAGTTTGAGACCAGCCTGGTCTACATAGTAAGTGAGAGAGACTATGTTGTTTATTTTGCAAATAAAGTTTTTCTGTTAATATACCAGGTCCTGGAATCCTGACTGAGGCATTACTTAAAGCTGGTACCAGAGTGATTGCCTTTGAAAGTGAAGCATCTCATATTCCACATTTAAAGGTATATTTTTATGTTCCTAAAGTCATTTGTTGTTCCATCCACTAACTTTGAGTGGGCTAAAGAAGTTAGCACAATTTCTTCTTATAGATCTTTTTGGGGACTATGTTTAATATCATTAAAGACTAGGACCCATGAATCTTCAGTGCTTGTTGAGTAACTTAAAGCTTGGGAGTTCTGGGCTGTTTTCTAGTTCCTATTGGTACCCAGAAAATGGTACCTCAAAGTGTGACACGTTGACATGCTGAGTATTTTGAAATAAAAGACAGTTGGAAGCCCACAAGTATAGCCTCAGAAATAAGGTATCTCTGCCTTCCTATCTCTTTACTTCTTTCTCCTTCAAATGGAGCCAGAGACCAGAACTCCTATTCTCAAAGGGCAGTCATAGAAACCAGGACCACCTCACTGCAAAGCAAACCATGGCCTGTGATTATTGTTAGCTTTCTGTGTGAGAGCTGCCTGTAAAGACAGTCTCTGACCTCCTTTGTTTCATAGTAGATCATAAGTCCTTTTCCTCCCAAAAGCCCTCACCCTTTGGCCAGGAGGAAGGAACGGCACATGAAAGAGGCTAAGAATCTTGACAGACGGGCCTGGGGTCTGTCCCACCTTTGGTTGGTTATAGTAGATCACACTCCATTTATGCAAGCTCATCCCCACGGAGCTTCCAGTTCTCCATTGACTAAGCTTAATAAAATCGGGTGCTTTCCTCTAAATCTAGGTAGGACTACTTGTACATAAAGCTTGGTTAATTAGTTTGTTACATTTTTCAATTGGTAACCTACCTTTGGTTAAATGAGTGTGGTTTGTTCCCCTAAGATCAGGAGGGAGCATGTCACATCTTCCCCTTTCTAAACAGTCTAGCTGAGTGATATATAATTGACCACTAAGCTTATGACCTTGCCTTTTTGTGAGCTTAAAATTCAAGAGTGAATGCTAAGGTTAAGTTAGTGGATCTGTGTAAACTCTGAGTTTAGTTAGGACTTAAAATGAAGCAAAAACAGGTTTGATATGGTCAAATGCAGTTGCAGAGTGCTGGATTTTCCTCCAAATGGTTGTTTTAGTGTTTCTGAGTCTTTAACTGACAGCTGACCACTAGAGAGGAAATTAGTTCAGAAAACTTATACCTGTATATCTATGCCAGTTTTCTGAAAGCGTGGAGAATGGATGACTTGACTTTAAAGTGCTGTGCTGTAGCTCAAATCCTAATTGGTCTTAGTAATAAAAACCCAGAGTCAGATGTCAGGGTGAAAGCTGAAAGATCAGAGAAGCAGAGCAGCCAGCCAGTAGAAAGGCTTCTTACCTCTAGCCATCCTCAGACTGTCTTCACTCCGCCTTATCACTTCCTCTCTCTGTCCAGCCATGCCACTTCCTGTTTCCTCCTCCCAAGTGCTGGGATCAAAGGCATGAGATCCCAAGCTGGGGTTAAAGGTATGTGCCACCAGTGCCTGACCTCTAGTGTCTACCTCTGTACTCTGATCTTCAGGCAAAATTTATTTGTTAAAGTACAAACAAAATATCACCACACTGTGTGACAACAAAACATTGTAGAAATAGCTATGACATCTAAAGATTTAATTTAAAAAAAAAAAACAACTTAAGTATTGAATTGTTGTTGGCCTTTGGTGTGGTTATGCTCAGTGGTAGAACAGTTAGCACAAACAAGGTCCACAGTGCAAACCCCAGTGGTAAAAGTGAGCCCGGCAGGTGAGGTGCCACATGCTTTTAATCTCACAAGTCTGGTGCAGTGGCAAGGCTAACCTAGTCTATGTTGGGAATTCCAAACTAGACAGGGCTGGCTACATAGGCTTTTTCCAAAAAAATTGAAAAAAAAGAGCTATGGTATATCAGGTTGGCCTCAGCTTCATAGAACTCCTCCTACTTCTGCCTCCCAAGTGCCTGTAATCCTAACATGTGGGAGGCAGAAGAATCACCCAAAGAGGTCAGCTTCATCTATGTAGTGAGTTCCAGTGCCACCTAGTGAGACCCTGATTTAACATTCCCCACACCTCCAAAGGAAGCAGCTTTATAAACAGCGAAAGCAATCAACAAAAAGAAAGGAAAATTTGTTGATGATTTTTTTTTTTAGATTCTATAATGCTTTATTAACTTTAAATTTTCTTTTTATTTATTTATTTATTTTTTAATATATATTTTATTTTACAATACCATTCAGTTCTATATATCAGCCATGGGTTCCCCTATTGTTGATGATTTTTTGTTGTTGTTGTTTTTTATTTCAGTTTTTTGAGACAAGGTTTCTCTGTGTGTCCTAGCTGTCTTGGAACTCCCTCTGTAGACCAGGCTGGCCTCACCTACCTGCCTCTGTCTTTTGAGTACTGGGGTTAAAGGCATGCACCACCACCATGCCTGGCTTGGTTTTGTTTTTAGGTGGTGCTGGTGGTTGACTTCAGGGCCTTGTACATGCTACATGAGTACTGTACTACTGAGCTGCATGGGCTCCTAGGGAAGGTTACTTCTGTATCAGACCTCTTAGAAAACTGTTGCACTTGGACCGTTTTTTCCTGCAGTGGTTGATTTTTAGTTCCTATGTTAAATTTGAGGCATATTAAGAATACTTGTACCTTCACATGAGAGCTTTGAACTTTTTTATTTGGGGTGCTGTAGTGCCTCCCTGGGCTTCATGCATGTTTGGCAGATGACCTATCATTAAGCCGTATATATTCCCAGCCCTTGGATTGTTCAGACCAAATCTCACTATATTATAGAGATAGACTGGTCTTAAACTTACTATGTAATCCAGGCCCTCCTAGAATTTGTAATTCTCCTGTCTCAGTTTCCTGAGTGATGAGATTGCAGACATGCCCCCATGTGCTCAGCAATTTTTTATTTTTTTTATTTTTTGAGGTAGATCTTTGAATTGTAGCGCGGTGTACATGATGAAATTTCTGATGTCACCTTCTCATCTCTTCAGGACTTGAGGAATAGTATTGGTAGAGAGTTGCAGGTGGTTCACAGTGACTTCTTTAAAATGGATCCCAGGCAACAGGAAATAATAAAACCAGAATATGATTCACGTGTCGTTTTTCAGAATTTGGGAATAAAAGCACTTCCTTGGTCAGCAGGTAATTTTTTTTTTGTCTTCCATTAAAGTTAATTCTTTATAAACAGCATTTTCTTTACCAGTATGACTTATTTGTTTACTAGATGTATATGCAATATATGGAGAGATTTAGATTGTTCAGTTAATAAGCAACTGCTCTTACACTAAACATGCCATTCCTTTTTCCTGCATACAAATAACCATTTTATTTTTGTACAGGACAAGTTATGTTTTAAGTGGGGGGCTTAGTTATTGAATCTTAATTGTATATATT